TCAGCGCCAAAAGGTGCATTAGCGGCAACGAGGTGTTGGAAAAAGTCTTGGAAGAAGAAAAGAGTATGTGAGGGTGGCGTCGCTGAAAGCCACCGTGCGTTGACACGGGCACGCGGCGAGTGGTAAATTGTGCATAAGGGGGAGACACGAAAGAGATCTTACGCGGATATGGATTGTTTCCACTTTTGACTGCAGGTAATCCGGGCGAGCTGGTGATATGGTTAATTCCACGGGATCAGCCGGCTCCTTGTTACCATTCGATTGAGCGACGTTGTAATTTGAATGGACAATCAGAGCCACCAGCTAAGATCTTCCTCTGCTCTCCCGGTCGAAGGGACAATGGGATCAGTACCAAAGTATGGAAATTAAAGAAAGAAAAAAGTCCCATCTCTTTGTCGATTGGCTTCCGGATCGCGTTGCTTCGTCCGCGCTAAATTAAAAGCACAGCCGTGTTGAAGCAGCGTCAAAGAGAAGAAATGTATATTATATACTCCTATCAACTCCTGCTCGATGGTACTAGGTAACGAAAGTTAACTGCTTCCCTCCCCTGCCCCCCCCCTCCTCCCGTGAAATGGCTCAGCGATTCTTTTTGCAGGTTCGCGCATCGGTAAACTGCAACTCTGCCCGAGCTCAAGGGGCTGGTTATTTTCGCTCGCGTGAGGGAACGCTTTAGATCAATCCGGATGTGCTGTACTCTTATATACTTACCCTTTTTTTTTGGTTCTGTACAAGTGCTCGCATTTTTTTTAAGAGATTCGTTTCGATGATTTGTCTCTTCTATACTCGCTCACGCCGCTGACACTTGAGTTTTAATTCTCACAAATTTGGATTTTACCCCCCCCCCCAAGGTATACAAATAATGAAAAAAAGGCGAGGCCTATACCTACCTCCCAGCTCTATGTCATTAACGCATGAAGCAATCTTTTTTACCTATATGCACTGAAATTTAATTACCCTTCGTATATTTGTCCTTTTTATTATTCCGCTCATTTTACGTACGTATAATTATATACACGTAATGTATGTACATAAGTTTGCCTACCAACAGACAGAGCTGGCAAGGCTCGCTCATTTTCCTCGCGCGTTATAAATTTAACGTCCGTGTGTATCTACATATCTGCTATATATAAGCAAACTATACTCCAAGTCGACCAGAACAGAAATTAAGTATAGATGTATAGATGCCATATATATTATATAATCTACATACCCTATAATATATTATATACACGCGACTTGAATATGCTAACGAGCCGAGAAGCTTGTCTACAGCCGGTGTTGTATCGTGAAATTGTTCGTGGAATGGTTGATTAATCAAATGATGTATCAATATATTATTCATCTGGAGTATTTCGATAAAGTCATGATTAACGGAGTTTGTTGGTTTTTACGCGGAGGTACGGATCTATATACCTCCTCTGGTGCTTTGTTGGTGTCTTGAAAATCGTGGGTTATGCAAAGAAGAAGAGGCTAAAGGTGTAAATTATACAGCATAGGCTGAACAGAGCGCCTTGATTATCTAATTTCATCGATTGGATGATTGTACCGGTAGATCGGGTGTTGCAGGCGATAGTTGTGTTATGCCTATATGTATACCCACTCATCGTTATTGCCGGTGAATTGGCGATGCTACTTTTGCCGAATAATTGCTGTAACGCATAAGTGCCCACTTTACCTTACCATTGTACATTGTTTGGTTGAAAAATCCCATTTTTTTATGAGCTTTTTTACACCGCTCTTTCGATGCGGGATTATATAGTTTTTACGGTAATTTTTATTCTATGGAATCACCATGATGTTACAGCTGATATTTGATCTTTGCGACTCATCTGTGGACTCTATTGAGTTAAAAACTATCGAGTTGATGGACTAAGAAAATTTTAATAAGTAATGACGGATGAATTCTTTCGACTTCACTCATTGTCTTCATCCCAGGGTTCAACATGAAAAAAAATCCAAATCTTTACCTGCACAACAAACTCACTCCAATTCCGTATTAAAACGCTCAGCTTTCTAACCAACTGAAAGCCAATTTTAACTCCTCCCTTACGCCGTTTTCAGAGAGAAAAAAAAAAAACAAAAAAAATACTGGCGCAATTAAACGAAAATTCGTGTACGCAAGTTACAAAACAATGTCGCTTTGCGAGCTTTGCACGTAATATTTTTCGTACATCTACAAAAGCGCGCCCTTCCTCTCTCTCCCCCAACGTGCAGCTAACGAGGTCGCGGAAGGGAAAAAGCTCCCTCGCGAGGGCCACGCCCGGTATACGATGGAGCAACAAAAAAAAGTTCATTGAGCTGCAAGCACGAAAAAAAAAAAAAAAAAAAAAAATAGGGAACAATAAAATACGAGACGCCTTGCCTGCTCGACGATTAAGCAATAAACATGCACATTCTAGTGCACGACAATCGTCGCTGCTAGTTTCTTTGCTCCGGGGCCAGTTATACGTGCACCAGCCGCGCGGCTCTCGAGCTTAATTAATTGCGGAAACGAGCTTTCCCTCCCACCCTCTCGCCGCTACTGTATATATACGCTATACTGCGCCCGTTTTTGCAATATATACGCAAGAGATGCAGGGCACGTAGCGCATAGGGTACATTTCGTTTCTTTTTTTTTTTTTTTTTTTTAGTACCACGTGTAGGTGAGAAAAAAAAACAGTAAACTTGCGATTGCAATTTTAGTCCCATCTCTACAAAAGTGTATGTACGTACAATATATAAACGCACAGGTAAAAATAATAACATTCCGCGCCGTCGCGTCGGACGATTGCTCGATCCATATCCCGTCCGCTGTGGCGTTGGCTTTTTCCTTCGTCCTCCTCCGCGTCAGTCGAGCAAATCAATTTCCGGCGTGTCTCAATTTAGCCGATGCAATATGTATACACCAGTAGGAAAAAGGAGCCGGAAGAAGTACAAGGATGATAAAAAACGAGTCTGACTCTAACTTGTTTTTATTACAAATTTCACTTGGATTAGTACTCGAAACAACATGTATGATTTTAAAATAAACAATTATTCGCATTTGAGAAAAAACGAAAGAGAAAGTATATATTATACGCGTGGGGTACAACCGAGCCCCGATCATCTTCACCCAGAGGAGATTCTGTACGAGGAGAGGGCGCTTAAAAATTTAAGATCCCCTTCCCCCCCACCCGACCTTGTTCCAACTTTCTTGATTCACGTCGCGTCCTCCCTCCGACCTTTCCCTCTTTTTCGTGCATTGTGCACAACACGACGGACAGTACAAAGCGCCTATATGGTTGCCCAAGATCTCGTGCTTCTTCCGTAACACTCGTGAGATTGGAAAGAACGATGTGGCTGTTGCGGACTGCAATGTTTTTATCATACCCGAACGAGAGAGAAGTGATGCGTCTTTCTTTTCTTCTCTCTTACTTCCCGTGTACTTCATATATACTTATAATAGTAAATATATTTCCCCCTACTTGCTTTCTCTTATTTTTTGTCTCGGCGCGAATCGAAGCGCTTCGTTACTCGATAAAACGCAGTCGAAGCGGCAATTCAATCAGAGTCCGCCGCCGATCTCTTGGATGGAAATTTCAGTCCCTACTCCCCCGTTGACGACCTTTCGACCGATCGCTCGTAACGCGAGAGCACCCGTACGCCTCTATACGACACGTGAGCCTCGCCGATTGAGGTGTATTGTCCGCTGGTAATTGAAACCGGCTGTGTATATATATACACGGAGGAGGAGAAAAAAAGGGCTGTATATAGGTAGGTGCTCGTTGTTTAAAAAGCTCTAGCCGTTTTAATGGCCAATATCATTGGACACGATAGTGATGTATACCCAATGGATTAAAAATCGATTTCGGATGGCAACCCAATAAACGTCCAGCCAAGCCCAACGGAGCTAAAGCAACAACAGTTATAAAATCGGCATTACCGTACACGTTGCGTGGGGTGCGGTGGTGTGGCGCCCGATGAGAAGCCAAGGATGCCTCTTTTCCCCGATGTACGCGGCCAAATAAATATATATATACTTTTGCACAAAAAAGGGCGCTATACAGCTCCGACCGACTTGGCTGCTCGCTCCTTCATCCCCCGCGTGAGCTAGATCCAAACGTTACAGAGCATCGCTAAAATATGTAGCTTATCCCCCCTCCCCCGATGTTGCTCGCACTGACGTCCCCGTATACGCCCAGCACTTTGGCCAGTTCCTCCGTGACTCCGACTGATATGCACACGCATCTCCCTGTGAATAGGTATGTGCAAATGTATATAGCGTCGCGTATATTTACACATGACATTGCACAGAGGGACTACAACGAGCACTGCAGCATCAGGCAGTTGATCAAAGGGGGGATACACGCACCCAACCAGGTAGACTTGCGCCGTTGGCTAAGGGGCAAAAAGTAGTGCGCACTTTACCCGTTTCCGCGCGTCTCCTTTGAACGTATCGCTTTGCCTCTTTTTCTTCCCCACGACTCGGTTGCTTGGGCAACGATCATCCGCCCACCGGAGCGATTTTATTTTCCCTGCCCCTCTTAACGAGCGTGGTTTAGCGAGAAAAAAAAAAATTATCTTCTCGTGTGGTACTTGAACGATCGTTTTCTCGATAAACAGGCAGCAGACAAAGCCGCAAAGCGAATCTCGAGCGCTCGCCAAGACACGTGGACTGTATATACCACATGAGTAAAATCATCGCATTACATCCGCACAAGCGCAAAATTTACGAGGGGAAGAAAAAAAAAAAAAAAAAAAAAAAAAAAAAAAAAAAAAAAAAAAAAAAAAAAAAAAA